CCTCATATATTGTTGGAGTGAGACGTGTTTTAGGTTTGTATGTGCCCAGACAAGTTCAACTTCATTTTCAATAATTACCTCATCTCTACCATCAGAACAGGCTTCATCAAACATAAGAGGTGGTCAAATGTTTTAGAAGGCTAAAACCAATCAGGAGAGTGAGCAGTGCTTGTTTGTTTTTTTAGACAGAGTCTTACCCTGTCACTAGGGTAGAGTGTGGTGGCATCATAACTCACAGCAACCTCCAACTCCTGAGCTTGAGCAATCCTTCTGCCTCAGCCTCCCAATTAGCTGCGACTACAGGTATCCACCACAACACCTGACTAACTTTTCTATTTTTAGTAGAGATGGGGTCTCAGCCTATCTTAGGCTAGTCTTGAACTCCTGAGCTCAAACAATCCATCCGCCTGGGCCTCACAGAGTGCTAGGATCACAGGTGTGAGCTGCTGGGCCTGGCCTGCAGCTGTATTTTACTATGTATATTCTTCCTACCAAGTTCCTTCTGTTCCAGATTAACAGACAGGTTTTCAGTGCACAGTCCCCCACGTCTGCCCTGCCACCAGCCGTCACGTTGACTAGTGTTAACAACCTAAGTGACAGGCCCCTGGATCACGTCCTGACCCATTCTTAACTGCAGTTTGTGGCCCTACTTACAAATTCTAGGCAACAAATAATCTCCAAGCACTTTCTCTCTCCCTGGTAATGTCAAGTCATGAGAAAAACCCAAACTAATTTTAGGCAGCTTGTTTCACAGCCAGAGACAAGTGAAACTCACTTCTTTGTTTAGTTGTGTCAACTAATACTCACCTTCCACTTTTCAAAAACTCGAAGCAATTAGTTTAAAAAAAAACACCTGCCAACTGAGGCACTCAAAGATCCAGGAGAGCTAGGAAGAGGATGGGCCAGAGAAAATGATTCTCTACGTAGGTCCTCAATCCAACTATGCCTGATACTAGTTCATACACTAGAAATATCATTTTGTGGCCATAACAAAATCTACAGATCCTGTGGTCTTAGGCATCCCCCCCCCCCCTTTCAGACAGTCTTGCTATGTTGCCCAGGCTGGTGTCAACTCCAGGTCCTGGGCACAAGTGATCCCTCTTGGTCTCCCAAATGTTGGGGACTGAAGACTCATGCCACTGTACCTAGCTGATATGGTGTGATTTTTATTTTCTTGAATTATGTTTCTTGCCACCTATACTGATTACTGAAAATTATATAAATGGCTCTATGTTTCAGAGTTCCTGTGAGAAATGAGACACTAACCTAGAACAATGAGGAATAAAAATAAAATATTCACAACGTCTTCAGAAGGACAGTTCCCTTTAACAATCTCTAGAGACTACTGTTGAGTCTCAGCTCATCACACGCCAGTCTGCTGGCCACCATGAGGTAGGGCAGGCCGTAACTAGTCAGGACACTGGCAAGATGGCACAGAACAGCAGTCCCGGCTCGGCGCATATAGCTCAACTGGCTAAGGCGCCAGCCACATACACCT